GATAATCTCTTTACTAAGAATTCGCATGGTAGGAAATAACCTTTAATCTGCTAAAATGTGTTATAGAAGTTCCTATTTAGAAATCTACGTAATATGTATAACAAGATTATGTTAACAATCGGTTGGTGAAATGGTAGCTCTTTTCCTTCTGTTCGCAGTGCGATTCTCATAGCAATAATGTAATTTTTCTTTCTCTTACGAAAGAAGTCAGTGATGTTAATAAAATGTTATGCTACATTGAGTGCTGTCTCATTCTTTTCGAAAAATAGAAAATATATATTCATTCATACTTAAAAATTATCGATATTTAATACATATATATGGTAGTACGTTAATTATCTACTTGAGCTCAGTGTAAAAGTTTTTAATATGTTTCTTAGAAGTGAAAGAAGAAAATAAATAAAGTCAACTGAGATATTTCTCCTGCAGTTTGTAATGGCAGATTAATCGTAACTCTTCAGGATTACATCATTCCAGTTATAACACACAACATTAATTTTTCCTTCAAGAATGGTTCGTCTTTGTGGAGAAAAGCCTTTATAATTCCTCTCCCAAAAATAATAATGCAAAGGCATTGAGCCACTTTAGACCCATTCCATCTTGCCGTTCCTCTCTAAAGTCTTGGAAGCAGTGGCACAGAAATAGTTTTCGAAATTTATATAAGACAACTCATAACTCTCCGAATACCAATCTGGTTTTTACCCTGGACATAGTACGTCTACTGCCCTTCTTAAACTCACTGAAGATGACAGAGATGGTATGGAGCTTGTCATGTTGACAGTGCTCATTCTGATTGCTTTTTTCAATGCTTTCAACACTGTCGACCATGATATTCTTTTTGTCTTTCTGACACACCTTAATGTATCTCCATCTACCTTAAAATGGTTTGCCTCATACCTACACGACCGTCACCAAGCGGTTCGTGTCAACACGAACCGCAATCTGACTGGTGCAGTTTAACGGCTGGCGTCCCGCAGGGTGGTATCCTATCGCCATTTTTTTTCGTTTTTATTAATTTCATTACCACCTTTCTTCGCTGTTCGTTTCCTTTGTATGCCGGCGATTTGCACTTCTATCGCCGTTGCAGTTGTGATGAGATTGACTCTACAATATCTCTCCACAACGAGGATCTTGATATGCTCTCAGGTGGACTGAGAGCTTTGATGTCGTCGTCAACCCGACTAAGTGCCAGGCTATTATTATTAGTGGATCTCACCAAATATGTAAGGTGGATACTGGCGCTGTAAGCTCGATTGAATATAATGGCATGAAAATTCCTATTTCTCCAAGTGTTAAGAATCTTGTTTGCATATTGACAGTACCTTTGGCTGGTCCACTCACATTAACGAGACATATCGACGGGGCACATATATGCTCCGTGCCCTCTATAGATACGAAAATTTTCGCCCTGTTTACACAATAATCTATTTAATCCGGTTCTTGTCTTACTATCCATAGATTACGCTGATCTGTGTTACCCTGACCTAAATTAAGATTTTTTTGGTAAATTGGAGCGGTCTCATAACAGTTGTATTCGTTTTATATTCAGTGTACGGAAATATGATCATATTACTTCATTTCGCCGTAAACTCCATTTGCCCGCGTCTTTCATTCAGACCGTCGCGATATAAGAATTCTCATATCTCTTTTCTCAATTCTTTTTGACCCTAATGCTCCGTCTTATATTAAGTCCGAATTTCACTTTTTAAGTTCCATTCACTCTCGTCCTCTTGGTTCTTCTGAAAACCTAATTTTCTCCATTCCCTCCCACTGCTCCAGCTTCGTATCAAATTCTTTTTTCTACAATTTATTCGTCTCTGGAACGATCTTCCGGAAAGCGTAAGAAAAGCACCCACTACATCTGCTTTCAAGGGTTTAGTACGTCAGCATTTCGCTAAGAAGTCATAGCAATTTTTAAAATATGAACAAACTTCTGGTCAATCTGCCTAATATTAATACTAGGCAGATATTTATGTATTTTGAATTACTATAGTATTCTTAAGTAAATATATTGGTGTTGATTATTGTGTATGTGTGGGTATTTATCGTGTATATAAATAAATATATTAAAAAAGTAAGTTATGCATATTTATTAATATTACATTATGATTATTATACTCTACTCTTTTTACTTTTAGGCTTTACCGTGTAATATCTCTGCTTAACTCGATGATTGACAGGTAGAGAATACCATGTGGCATTAAGCCCGCCATTTGTTGTAAAACAATAAAGAATAAATAAATAAATAATAGCCTATCTACATACATGACAACTTCGATAACTCTACCCAGCGATGGGTTGACTGACAATTGCTTTTCATTATTTCCGGAAAACTTAACGGCAGTGCTATTCTTTAAGGATAAACTCACTTTTCAACGCGAAATTCGCCAGTGTGACGATTTGAAATGTATCTGAAACTCGTCCTCTGTCTTCTAATTTTAAATAACACCGCGGATCCAGAGGTGAAATGTGAGTTTATTCTTATAAGTATTACCTGCAGATTCGATTATGCGTAATAATAATATCCTTTATTGCACACGACAAATAAAACAAGACATAAACTTATAAAAATGAAGAAGAGTATAGTATATTATATAGAAGAGAATATATATACAACAGGCGGCCTTATTCTCTTCCAGGCAACCTTTAACCTATTTTGCAATAAGAATGAAATGTACACTAGAGTATGATTTTTTTGTATCATTGTAGGCTTTTGACAAACTGCTAATCTCGCAACGGATATGGTATTCATGACACTATTTATAATTCTCTTTATAATAATGCAAACAAAACTTAAACTGAGAACTCATGTATTCGAGGCTGTTATCTTTTAAACACATATTTTATAGCTGACTGCATTCGATAAGCAACTTCAAAAAGTATTCAACGTCTATCTTTTCTTGGCGGGCGATCCAAATTTAAATTGGCTCGCGGCGTGTGGGTCCCGCAAAAACAGCGTACATTGAACTTGCAGGAGCAACCTGGACCAAAACTTAATTAGTAGGGATGCCTTCACATCGGGCTACCTGCACCGCTTTGACGAAACATCTAAAGGCCTTCGGAAACGATAAAAACTTTCAAAAAGAAGCGCGGAATTCAATTATCTACCTACTTGCAAGTTGTTACGCAAGTCCGTTACAATGAAAATCGTTATTCATGTAGATAATGTTTAATTTTTACTGTCGATATCAGTTCAAATAGCTTATTATAGGATAAGAAGTAGTACTGTATGTATTGAAAAAAATTAAATGCACAAACAGGGTAACTAGTTATTTACTAGCGTATTTCTATGTTCCACGAGTCGATATTTCACTTAGTTATTTTTTATGATAGGAATAGCAATACCAACAGTTTATTATTATGTTAATAAATGTTAGGATTTAGAACAAAGTTTGTATGAAAGTAAACTGACAGCATCTGCAGGTACTTAGTTAATATGCGTGTGCTTGTACCAGAAGTCAGAACTTCAGAAGTCACGATTGCTAACGTCATTTAACATCGTAACTTTGCTATCGGTTTAACGATTCCTTATATAATAGCAATACGGTATAACTCGTCCTTTGAAGATTTAAGATTATTTATTATATTATACATTATAGGAAAAAATTAGCACAAGGTTAATTCGTAAAATGCGTAAGAAGGTTGATTTGCAGTTGAGGAAATTGAGATAACATTATAAATTCTGCCGTCGTGAATATAGAATTATGGAATTTTGCTTCGTTTAATATTGTGAAGTCGAAACTAAAATAACATTATTGTATTAAAAATCTTCTTTAAGTCCCCGAAAAAGTGCCAAAGCGTGAGATCTGAAGTTATTTTTTTTTAATTTCTTGTTAGTAATGTGAGGAATGTTATGTAAAACGAAAGGACTGTTTGTTTGCCAGCTATAATTATGTATTTTCTGAAAAAGGTGCAATTTTTATTAAACTTCGAGATTACACTTCACTTGTAGAAGGACAATAGTTGTATAGGACAAAGTATGAATGAAAATTAAATAAATGGAATTAAAAGAAAATCTTTCATTTGTCTTTTTTAGCAAATTGAAGCGATGCAAGTTTAGGAAATAACGACATAAGACAGTGATTTTTCGGTTGCAATTTTATCCAGTAAGTGTCAAGTATGTAGGATACCTATGTATATTCGCAAATTGTTTTTATAGTGGTTGATATTATGATTTAAAATTGCTATAGTTTTGTGTTACAAGATTTTTTCTGTATATGTAACTGGAGTCTTACTGGGATCTTAAAAATAGCTATGAAATCGTCCATATGATAGTGTATGGAAGTGAGAATTGTTTTATATGTTTAAGTAGAAATTAGTGTTGATTCTGGCATAATTCTCTAAATTTAACATCAGTCTCTCCTTTTCATTTTCATTTTGCAAAGAGAATGACAAGGATGCACTGCTGTCAAATTTAATTTTAGGTTTAGAGAATCATGATGTATTCGACATCGAGCACTGAGAGAAAAGCTCATTGAAGTTCGTCGAGAAAGTTATCTTGATAAATTTGCTAGTGTATATATAGTGCTAAATAATCTTAAACATCATCATCATCATCAGCCTATTAATGTCCCCACTGCTGGGGCACAGGCTTCCCTATGGATGGAATAGGGAGATTGGGCCATGACCCACCACGCGGGCCCAGTGCGGGTTGGTGGGTGCTAACGACTGCAGATGCAGCCGGGACCAACGGCTTAACGTGCCTTCCGAAACACGGAGGAGTTCGAGATAGTAAATTATGGTCACCCATCCAATGACCGACCACTGCGAAAGTTGCTTAAATTCAACGATCGCTGCGGAACGCGCTAACCACTTGCGCCATCGAGCTCCTTCTTAAACATAGGATGCCATTATTTAAACGCAAGTTTCTAAACAATAAAAATGAACTGAACAGTGAACACTAGATGAAAACTTGACACTGACTAAAGAAAAGAAAAAAAAGTGGATTGGCTTCTATAAAATAAGCTGAAGAAGATTACAGACTTGGTCGTTTGACTTACCAATATCATTATTGTTCTAAGTTCTAACCACAGAAATAAATCAAGGTTCTAGCGTTAATGTAATAAGTTATAATTTTATCATACACATGACGAACTGGGCAGCCACGAATACTTCATTTATCAAACTGTATCAATAGCGTTTGAAGTAATGTGTCGAATGTATATTTTATTGGCTGATAATAATCTTTTAATATGTTATATTGATTGCAATAAATTTAATTTGATTAGAAACACCGATAAAGGGAATCTGTTTAGATAAATCCTGTCCGATAATGAAATGCCCATGATATTATGATAAATAATATTTTTTGTAGTTGTTTTTATACTCTGCAATATGTTACTTTTTACTTATAATTTTTGTTTCGTCTTTGAAACTCGTTTTGTATAATTTCCTTGAAAAATAATAAGACGCAAGTTATCATTGAAGTTTATCCTTAAGTTAATTAAATTAAGACCTTACAATATCACCTCGGGGGATGTCACAAGTTCTATCGTGTGAATAAAGTAAAATTACTGTTTTGATTAAATAAAACACGTTTAAACGGTTTAAATGCGCTAACTTATTACTTTTGACATTTCGCATCCTTTTCAGGCTGCGTTGTCAGTTCTGACGTCAATTCTGACGTGTTTTATTTAATGAGTGGTGTGCGTGAAAACCTAAGAAACAAGTACTGTTTTGATTTTGATAATGTTAAAAGATACTCGTCGCATTTTGACAAACTTCTTTTAACCTCATAATTTCTCTTTTGCTTTTGCAGTAGGTGCCTTTATGAGAAAATGTTGTACAATATTGACAAATGTTGAACAAATGCATATTAATTAATAAGGTGACTTTAATGTGAATGTAATTTTATCGAGAGTTCAATTGTCTCGTCTCATCACGGACATGTTTGACGGAAGGATGGCGTGCGTATCCTTCGGCTGTCACATATGGAGGACGAAACGTGCCAAGTCCACAAATAGACAGACAGACAGTGATCGTTGGATAACGCCTTATCTACATCTATAGATGTGACATCAATGCAAAGTGGAGTGCATTACAGGCCATGCATCGGTTTGGGACATCTTTTTTAATTTTCAGACCATTGTTAGAATTTTCCTATAAAACGTGTTCCTATAAACCACCAGCAAACGTCGTCCCTGTTAATTTTATGTTTCCACGCAACATTCTTAATATTTTTTGCAAAAGACTCTTCTACAAAGTATTTGAAAACTTAAATAAAAAGATGGAATCGTTCTCAAGTTATGGCCTGACCAAGGGAAATAGGGTGTCATTTTAATAAAGTTTTTAAACAGTTGAGATTTGTTTTGTCTTAGTGTTAGACTAACAATCCAGCATGGTAGCAGAAGATGAATAGTCTTAATTGTATCTAGTATTCCAGCAGACAGGTAGTTTTACCGATTTCTATAGGGAAGGCAACTCGCGAGTGATATTTACGGTAGCTTACAGCTACAGTTTATTTATATCTATTAGGCTATGGTGACAGCGTACCTTAGACAGGCTACATAATCACCGACCACCTATTATAAATTAAAAATGGTGTACTGACCTATGTAGCTTTAACTAGCTTTTAAAAGGAAAAAATTGTATGAAACCACGATAAGAGTGACTTTAAAAATCATTAAAAATCAATATCTTTCCAGGCTGGGAATCGAACCTGGGCCACCTGCGTAGCAGGCGAGCTTTCTATCACTGAACCACCGTAGCTTGTTGATAAGGACTGAATTCTTTAATAACAATTAAATAAAATGCGACATGCTAAAGAAAGTGAAATTGTTTTTTTTCTTTCTTCTGTCTTTCTTTTCGTTCGGATTTTTGCACTGTTTCAGCTTTAATAAATAATAATAATAAATATTTCCAACACTCACACCAATTAGCCTAGCCCCAAAGTAAGCACTGTAAGGCTTGTGTTATGGGATACTAGGGTAACGGGTAGAATACATATATTGTACATATATAAGTATTTATATACATACGTACATAAACATCCATGACTGGAGTACAAATGCTCGTATTCAACAATTCATCACACAAACATCTGTCCCACCGGGATTTTAACCCGGGACCTCTCGAGTCGGCGACACCATGATACCCGGCATATAAACCACTCGGTCACGGAGGTGGTCATTCAATGAAAATACTTGCCACATGACATCTGCAAGTAGTTAATTTATGTGACTACTGGTACGAACTCAGAAGTCACGAATGGTAACGTCATTCAATATCGTAACTTTGCTATCGGTTAAACAATCGCATATATAATAAATAGTATTATGGTTTGACAATATCCTGCCATAGCCTGCGCATTAAAGATTTGAGGTTATGTATAGGAAAATTTTATGCACAAGGTCAAATCGTAAAATGCGCAAGAAGGTTGCGTTTCGAATTAATTAACGTGATTAATATTAATTTGCAATTGAGAAAATTGAGATACAAAATTATAAATTATGTCATTGTGAGTAGGTATCATGCTTAACTATATGAAGAAACTTCTTAAAGTCTCTGAAATGGTATAAAAATCTTTGGTTCCTAACTTACTACTCAGGTGGACAAGGTGGACGGTTGGAAATACCCTGGATAATTTACTTATCAAAAATAAGATGAGGCCATTCAAATTTCGTGTCATTATGGTGTGGTTTTTTATAAGGTGGTGTTACGCTATGACCTATGTATGCATCTCTCTTTATAACTTCTTACATGTGAAAGCTTGTTGGAGCACCACGAAGAATTTTCTCTTAGTTAGAATTAGTCTCTTCGGTGGTGTCGTGTGTGGCGGGTCGTTACGTTCCCTAAAATATGGTTGAGCGAAGCGATGGCTGGTTCATGCGTCATGCTCGTGAACGGGTGCTGCCAGCGGAGATGAGTCTGCCCTAACTACTTTGATATTTAAGATGTAAATGTTTAATTACACCTATTATAAATAACTCTGTTTGTATTTATACTGTGTGACACAGCAATCAAAATGCAGGTGAAAATTATTGTATAATTTCACATTATGTAATGAAAGGTGACTTCATGAATCATCTCTCTAGTCATTTTTCAACTTGACAACTCTGTAAATGATAAAACAGGGAGAAAAAAACAGCCCTTGCTGAGTTTCTTGCCGGTTCTTCTCAGTACAAGGTCTCCCGCCGTAGATTTACGAACCGATGGCGTAGCTTCTAGACATTCATATGTGCTTGTAACAGCCTGAACGGAATAAATGATTTTGATTATTGATTGATTATTGAATCTTTGCGGTGAATAGGAATTGTACCTATGATAAGCAAGTAGCTTAAAGTGTATGCAGATTTTTAAAATTCGAGCGGACACATGCGACTCACTATCTTCCGACGCGGAGAAGATTTTTAACGATTTTTTTTTTATAGAAAACAGGAGTAAATGCCCTTCTCGTTACCACGTGATCATGAGCAGCATCGAGCAATTCAGCCTCGAAGGTCACACCACAATTAGTTCGTCGGTGTTCGTGACGTGCTCAAAAAAGTCTGTTATTCAATGGAGAATGGCGTGCTATTCTCTAATATGGTCTGACGTTGATTTCGTCGACGACAGTGCCTTAAAATCGATGTTGCAATACTTAAGATTGACGACCTACGCGGTTGAGTGGTTTGTACGTCGGATTTCATGGTGTCGCCGACTCGAGAGGTCCCGGGTTCAAATCCCGGTGGGGGCAGATGTTTGTGTGATGAATACGGGCATTTGTACTCCAGTCATGGATGTTTAATATGTATTTCTATATAAATATAGTTAATGTATTCTATCCGTTACCCTAGTATCTATCCCATAACACAAGCCTTACAGTGCTTACTTTGGGGCTAGGCTAATTGGTGTGAGTTGGTAATAATTATTTATTAATTTATTTATAAGTTGTTTGTACTCATATTTGATCATAAGGTAGCTTAACAAAAAGTTTTCATTTTAGACTGTAGTATAGTTATACGTAAATTTGTTAAGTTAAACCCTTATTTTTTAAAGATGCTGTAGCATTGTCTCGTGGATGTTCGCTTAGAGAATAGCACCACAAATTTTCTTCCAATCTTTTTACTGTATTGTTTTTTGCTCATCGGCTGTTGAAGCTTAAGACTGGTTCATATCTACACACCGCACTAGTTATAGGTATATCTAACGGCAAAAACTGTAACTACTTTTTATATATGTTATTGAAGCTTTTGCGAATTAGTCAACACCTAATCGATATATTTTATAATAGTCTTGTGCGAAGTATTTTGGAATTTTGCAGCGTGGTGTGCAGAGCTCACTATGCACACACCCTGGTTGGAACGGTTACAAATTGGTTTTTTTTGGCAGTTCTGTTTCTCCATAAAATATCTTCTTTTTAATGTTAAAAGGGTGGCAAACAAGCATTTAGCCCGCTTGATGGGATCTACTAAGGTTATACAAATTGAGACTCAAATATTTAAAAATAAATGCATAAGCATTACATAGAGATCTTTTGAACATGCTATTCCTTTACAAATTGCGGAGAGGTGCCATCGACAGTTCCTGCCTTCTAGGTAATTCATGTTTTTGTGCCCCATCGGAATTTCCACGTAGTTTTATCACACCTCTTTGTTCCTCCATCCTTTACGCAGTCTTGCACGGTCTTGGTTATGAAATCTCCGGTAGCCAGATTTTGAAAGATGTTAAACTCCTGCAGTGACATCGTTGATGTACACTACGACACTTATGGAACTTCTTACAAATCAGTTTTGAATCACCTAAAGTCTGAAATCCAAAATAAAGTTTTCTGAAATTTCATAATTCATTCTCATTTTTAATGATTATCATTCATTAATTTATTGTAATAATAACCTTGGAATAGGTAAAATTAATTAGATTATTAAATGTATATAATGTTATTCATAATTTTATTGTATATAAATAATTTAATTTTATAATCAAATGTTTTAATGGAAATTAATAATCAAATGTTTTTAAAGTAACTTTAATAAAATTAATGGCTTGCTCATACGAGGGACTAAAGTCCGCTTAAATAGATCCCTTACAAATGTATCAGGTCACACGATAGTTTTAGAGTTAAAAAAAAACCGGCCAAGTGCGAGTCGGACTCGCGCACCAAGGGTTTCGTACAAACTCGATTTAATACCTCTACGCGTTCATGAGAAAAGAGGTAGTAACTTTAAAATTTTCAAAAAAATATTTTTTATTATATGATGTCACTAAAAATTTACGGTTTTCGCAATTTTTCCTTTATCTGTAGATACTATAAGACGTTACTTCGAACCAAATTTCAATTTCAAGTTCACGGGAAGTACCCTGTAGGTTTAGATTCCCGTGCGAGTTTTTGTTGATAAAGCCTAAATTTTTTAATAACAATTAAAGATGTAATGCAACTTGCTAAAGCTGAACGAAAATGAAATGTAGCGACGTAATAAAAGTTTCACTTTAAAAATAAAATAATGCAATTTGAACGATATTGATGTTGGAATATATGATTTTATACAGATGCTATGGGAGGTTTGGTATACTTATTTATTACATGCCTTTTCAGACTCTACCAATAAAACTTTGCTTTGGAGTTGTTATAGCAGGAAGTGATAATTATAATAAAAGCATTAAATCAATGCCAAATGTGAATGACATTTGCTAAGTCTGGCTGTTGTCCGGATATATCAGTAACAAGTTCCCGATTGCTTTACGATAGAATAAATTATGATACGAATGTTTATTAGGTAGTCAATAAACTTTTCCTATCTAAACATATGTATTTTTATATGAAT